TCAGTTTCTTAATTACGCCAACCGAGTTAAAAACCGCCTTTTTCGATATCCTGGATCACTTTATTATCTTGCACGAACAGATCAGCTTACCTAATGACGGAACTAACGTTGATCCATGTATTAATGACACAGTAAACTAAATTATAATAGAATTAAGAAAACTAGAAATAATCGCTATCAATTTTTTCAAAAACTCCTGTGGTCCAGCGGCCCTTTTAAAAGAAAAATTTGGCGATTTCAACTTAAACGCGGTCGACAATACTCTTTAGGAAATATATTACAAGCAGATCAGCGAAGTCAAAATAATGGGCATATTATACTCTTTGATTAATAACGCAAGAAAAGAGTTCTTAGAAATGGATTACTTTCTCCTGGGTTTTAATTACATAAAGAAGTCAAAAACTACCGTTTTAAATCAAATTACCGACCCTCAAACACAAATTAAGCTAACAAAGGGGATACTAAAATCTCTCCCTAACTGGTCACTTTATTTGGGAGACTTGATGGTTGTTGTGAATGAAAAGAAATACGGTCTTCAAAGTCTGATCGTCACTGAAGTCAACGAGCAAAATATTAACGGTATAATTCGTCTCCTCTACGACCTGATGAGCGCTTACTTTGTTAAAATATTAAGAGACTTATATTTATACTACACGTCTTTATCAGAACTCTATCATTCGACAATGAAACCTAATGAAAAATATGTCTTTATTGAATCCTTAGTGATATCAAACATGTTTTCCAAATAAAGTGACCAGTTAGGGAGAGATTTTAGTATCCCCTTTGTTAGCTTAATTTGTGTTTGAGGGTCGGTAATTTGATTTAAAACGGTAGTTTTTGACTTCTTTATGTAATTAAAACCCAGGAGAAAGTAATCCATTTCTAAGAACTCTTTTCTTGCGTTATTAATCAAAGAGTATAATATGCCCATTATTTTGACTTCGCTGATCTGCTTGTAATATATTTCCTAAAGAGTATTGTCGACCGCGTTTAAGTTGAAATCGCCAAATTTTTCTTTTAAAAGGGCCGCTGGACCACAGGAGTTTTTGAAAAAATTGATAGCGATTATTTCTAGTTTTCTTAATTCTATTATAATTTAGTTTACTGTGTCATTAATATATGGATCAACGTTAGTTCCGTCATTAGGTAAGCTGATCTGTTCGTGCAAGATAATAAAGTGATCCAGGATATCGAAAAAGGCGGTTTTTAACTCGGTTGGCGTAATTAAGAAACTGAAAAATGATAGCGCACCTTTCATGCGCGACACAAAGGTTTCCGGGTCTAATAGCTGCACAAACTTATCCAGACATTCCCGTTGAACGAAAGCGGTCATAAACGTGCATGTTGTGCCAAGTTTGTATAAATTTGTTTGATATATTAGATAATCAATAGTGTATTGGCAACTTAGTAAATGTTGGACTTGTCGAACTTTAAAAAATATGTTTCCGACTGTTATCATGATTGGTTGTGCGTTATCGTCCCTAAGTACATCAGTTATTTTGTACCGTTCAATGCCGTCGACGATTTCCAACGGAGGCAAACTAAGCCATCCCGGAAAACTCAGAAGTTCAGACATCTCTTCTAGGGGGTTTACCGCAATCGAATCAAATACCATACTGCTGCATAGTACAAGAAATATCAAACCGCTTAAAAAGCGTTGAGTTTGCATTTTTATTTTTTGAAAAAATTTAAATCACGTGTAACTACGAACTTTGAACGAATCACTGAGAACCGAACAATCCGGATAGTTAACTAGGTATGAAAAATTATTGTACGTGTTGGACTAGTTACAAACCTTTACGCATATTATCGCGAATGTGTATAGTAAATATATTTTGTGCACAACAACAGTCAAAGTAAATACAAACGGTATGTTTGAGTTATATTTCGACTGCCACTCCACCTCCTCATTACCACCTATGACCACCACCACCACCGACCGTTCCACATTGCCGTGTCGTGGTGCTTCCACAACTGCCTGTGTACCAATTGTTTTTATTTTCAACGCACCGTTTGTTTTTGGATTTTATCGAACATTTATTTTTCCTCCGACTCCACTCGTATATTGAACCACCTTTTAATTCAATTTTATAGACAGTGTGAAAATGAGCAATAGCTAAATTAAGCTAATACAAAAGTACTCTGATGTCCGGGGGCCCTACCAGTATAACCTACCATCTCGGTTGTTAATGACTTTTATATTAGGTTCTTTTTGTCGCCTCTTACGACAGAAGGAACATTCCGTGGTCCTATTCTTGCCCGGGAACCAAACATTTTCACATACAGTGTGAAAATGAGCTATAGCTAAATTCAGCTAATAAAAAAGTACTCTGATGTCCGGTGTCCCTATTGAAAAACAATTTTCTTGTTCCACAAAATAGTATGATAGTTTTAATACGTGCAGAATTGTAACAATATATAATTATATACCTGTTAATAATACAAAATCATTTTAACTGCTTTAGAAGACACCATAATAATTAAAACTACCTAATGTTGTATGAACATTTTATTTATTTTTCATATATTAGATTTAATAATAAACATACGATTATCTTTGGAAGTGTAATTTCTGTAAGTTCTAATTTTTTATTCTCCTTGGCCTTATGTTGTAACTGGAAGCTCCATATAATTTTTTTTTTAAAAATTTAATTTCACACCTAATCTAAATTTATTCGGTACTTCAACGAGACACGGAAATATTTTTTCGTGGTTGCAGACTCGGCTGAAAAACTTTCTTTCGATTATTTCGGTTATGTGCCAGAGCTAAGACATGAAAATGTCAAAATCAAAGAATCCCGCCACTACTTAAAGAAGATGGTACTTTAGTCATATCAGTTTACGAAAACGCTTTATGTTATGCTGAGTATCTTACTATACATTAAAATTACACCAAGACATCATACCAGATTTAAACGTACTGTTAATATGGTCAACGACTTTCGGTTAAGCTCTCTGCCAATGTCCCTGCCTGTTAAATCCTTTACTTCAAGGAACAATTAAAAATGACCATAAGGCAAAGCTCTTGGTAACGACCTTATTACCAACAAAATATTGATACACTCTCTCAAAAGAAAATGTTTTCTTTTTAACTTTTATTTATAACGCTATGCTTCGACTTTCGTATTATCCTCATCTAAAAATAGCAGTAGTTATTGTTATACCTAAACCTTGAAAATCAAAGAACTTGGTCACGTTGGCTTATTTCGTGATGACGCACAAGCGTTTGATAGATTTGGCCCAGTGGTCTACTTTATAAACTGAAAAAATATTTCCAGTACTTTCAAGACCAGAAAATGTATAGTCAGAATAATTTGTGCTTATTCACCTTGCTTTTCTAACACGTTACTAGCTACTTTTGTTGACGATACAGCTATATTAATTTGTCACAAAAATAGAAGCGACGTGGCTCACTATTTACAACACGATAAACATCTGTGAAACATGGTTTAGGAATTGAAAAATAAAAATAAATCCAGTCACGTTACCTTTGCTCTCCGTCCTGAAACATGTCCTGCTGTAATACTCAAAAATACAGTTATCACTACTCCAATAGAAACAAAATATCTTGTTTTAATACCAGACAAACGTCTAACCTGGGAATCTCACATCGAAAAATAAATGAAAAAATCAAATATTATAGTATTGCATCTTTTCCGCCTGATTCTGAAATCCAATCTGCCCTCAAGACTAAATTACTCATATATAAGTCAATAATACGACCAATATGGGCTTATGGAATTCAAATGTGGGAACCTGCTAAGCCTTCAACTATAAGACCAATACATGCGTTCCCTAATGTATCACTACGAATGGTCTCAAATGCCCCTGAACAGTGAATACTGTTTATCGTAAACCATGTTGTGTAAAACCACGTATAATGTTTTCGCCAGTACGATTATTATGTGTAGCATCTTAAAATTTGAAAACAATGTTAATATTATACTATAAATTATAAATACTTGTATGCTATATAAATAAATTGAAAACAAAAAAAGCTCGATAAAAGTGTAATATAACAAATTAGTATCGAAAAAAAAAAAAGTACAAAGGGATCGGGGAATAGTGGTGACGAAGCGTAGTAGGGAAAGGGAGGTTACAGGTTTACAGGAATTTCTGAGAGTGACAAAATCACTTTCGAATAAACGCTTCGATGAAAAACAGTAGTTAGTATTCTCAAGCCAGTACTGTCCTAAGTAAGCACAGTGTAAACCAGCAAAGTAAAAAAGTATTAAAATGAGGGGTTACAAATAAAAATCTACTAATAAGCAACAATGCGTTTATTTAAAAGTAATTTTATCCGAGTGAACTTTCTACCCGCTCCCTTAACCTAACCCCTCAACGTTGGTGTTATTTTTAATGTTTATTTAAAAATATACGCAACTTGAAAACTGACTGAATAGACCTTTTTTGCAATTATAATTGGTTGGATTACAAACTGACTCATACAAAAAAAAAATTTTAATTTACAACAACATCTACAATTAATTATTAACGGATAACAAAATTAAATTGTAAATAATAATTTATATTTGGAATTGTGTTTATTTTTTTTGTGATTTTCTTAATAGGTATCTTGAAAAATGTTTATAATATAGAGAGCAACACCTAGTTTACATTGTGAATAGTTTTCAAAATTTAAGTTACAGGAATAGGTACACAAAAAAAACAAAACAAAGAAAAATGTCTTCCTTTTTTGGGTTTTCCGTGAGAGCTTTTTTGCTGTTCCAAGCTCTTATTAACGTTGGAAACACAAACATACATGTAGTTATAGATTAAAACAAAGTCGAAAGATTTCATAAGCAATTATATTAAATATGGTACTAATGATATTAAGAATATTTGGAATATTGGACAATTGTTTTATACAACGCTAAACAAAATCGTTGTTTGCAATCGTCGTATAATTCTATCTACTGTGACTTAATTGTATGATAACAATTATCATTGTTCGAATTTAAATTCATATTGATTTTGTTTTTAGATTGTAAAGTCTGGAAGTTCCACCCGGAAAATGAAAAAAAAACGCGTATACAAATTTCCTATCAATTGTCCCATCAACTCCTTGAAAAACTATCAAGTATTTAATACCGAAGGAGCCACGTTAAAGTGAGGTTATAACTACAGCTCAATTTTGTACAAGTTTTTTTTTTAAAAAAAGCAATATTTTTTTTCTCTAAGAGTTTATCACATTCCCGGACACACGACCGATCACGTTATGTTAACCTTGGAAGAGGACAAAGCTTTGTTTTGCGCAGACTGCGTGCTCGGCGAAGGGACTAGCATATTCGAAAACTTAGAAGATTATCTGGAATCTTTACAGTTAATATTAAAGTTAAACCCTGTTGTGATGTATCCTGGACACGGTTCTGTGATTAACGTAAGCCGTTCGCTTTGATTATTTAATTTGTTTAATTTTTTCAAAATTGATTAGCGCATTTTTATGTGGGTTTCAGAATACCGTTCAACGAGTTAACAATTACATACAGCACAGAATCGATAGAGAACGAGAAATTATTAAAATACTCAGTGAACATCCCTTACAAACCATGACGATAAAAGATTTTGTAGATGTCATTTATAAGGTGAGTTGAATAAAACTACTGGTACATTATTGGAAAGTTGATTCTTCCAAAACTGACATTTCTCTTATGCGTATCATTAGGTAATACCAATTTTATATGTAAATTGTTACATTAGTGATTAGCAAAATTTAAAATAAACAATAATTCAGTGGAGTATTTACGGGGGGGGGGGGATAGATCCCCTTTCTTGACCTTTTCTTTTTTGTAATACTAGGTAAAAACAGAATCCCACGTTATCTGTAAGGTGACCCGTGACATATTATTCTACTGAAATATTTTTAACACTTGAATATAACCGTCGGCTAATAACTGACACAAAAAACCTTCAAAAGTCTGTTTAAGAAAAAAATTAAGCTCAAAAAAAAAGAAAAATTTATCCCCCTCCTCAAGAAAATCCTACATACGCCTCTGCAATAATTTATAGATTACACAGACAATTACAACAATTCGATAAATCTTTATTTACTTTGCCTTTAAAATAACACTTGTAATTTTAATAGTTTATAAACTGTTTGCTAACTATTTATGGAAAAGTATTTTGTCTTAATTGATTTCAAATAAATGTTCTTGAACAATAAACACAAACCCTTTTTTTTCTCTGAAATAATTGAAAAATTGTTCTATTGTTTAAAAAAAAAGTTTAAATCACTACTTTAATTTAGAAAAAATGAATATTAACTGATTGATTTTTTATCAACTGTAATACTACCTCAGTCAGCGAGACTATAGTCTCGGCGTCGAACGATCTTCTATTCAGCTTCGATATTTCATTATTCGATATTTTAAAAGTGATAAAAATTTAAACACACCCAAAATAATTAAATATTTACACAAATAATAAATAACGAGTACCGAATAATTTTGTCATGAATAATTAAATAAAAGATAATTTTTGACTTTGTTACTTTATTCCTCCGTCGACCGAAATGTATTTTACTCATGAGAGTTTTATCTAAATGTTATTAAAACAGCAACATGAACTTCTGAACACTTAAAACTGTGCATTTAAACTTTAAATTTGTTTTCTTGTTATAGGGTATCTCCAAAAAATTACAAGAAGTCGCAATGATCAGCGTGGTGCAGCATCTTTTAAAGTTGAAAAAAGAGGGCAAAGTTTTAGAAATTGACGATCACTGGAAAATCAATAAAAAATAAAATTTGTGATACACTTAATTTTTAAAAATTTTTTTTTTAATAACACAATATTGTTTTGTCGTTACCGCAAATCGTTGCAAACAAAGTGGTATAATGTTGGAAGCTATAAACATTGTTCAACATTTTTATAAGTGGTTTGGGTTGAATTTATTGTTATTTTGTTGTACTCTGGATGTAGTTCATTATATTGTTGTTGATATATTTATACACATATACATTTTAATATTTATAAATAACTAATATAATATAATACCATATTTTTACACAAAAGACTTGAACGTATGATGTGCATAGTTTTTTTGCCGAATTAAGATTTAATAAAAAAAAAATCAAATGTTTAAAAAAAAAATCAGTCTACACTTAATTACAAAGGAAATCACTTGCACCAAAATCGTTTACAATAAGACATTGTTTATACAGAACAAATTTGTAATTTTACTCAGTTTTTTGCATTACAGATTTCCACTGTTTGAATTATATTAAAAACAAGTATTGATAGATTGATGATATTTTACTTTTGGTATACTGTATATTTAGAGTGAATTCCAGTCGTTTCATTAGTTTGGTAATTAAAAAAAGAATAGTAATATCTATAGCAAGGAAGACATCACCGGAACTCACATAAGTATTAATCTAACCAGAATAGAAAGAGTTCAGCAATGCCACTATCTTGGCACCGTCATTAACGAAATAAAATGACGCATTGGTAAAGCCAGAAGTGTATTTATTAATGTCATAGACTGAGAAAATTACCAATATTGAGGTATTGCGTAGAAAGGGAAAGGAAAAAGAATTAGTTACAACAGTTAAATGCATAAAACTCCAGTACTTAGGACATATTATGCGGAACAAGTGCAGATATGACCTTCTCCAACGTATCCTACAACGGAAAATAGATAGCAAAAGAAGTTCTGGAAGAAGAACATCGTGGCTAGCCAACCTCAGAACATGGTTTGACAAAAGTTTTGTAGAATTGTTCCGGAGTTCCACTAGCAAAACTAGTATATCAATAATGATCGCCAACATCCGAAACGGATCGGCACATTAAGAAGAAGAAGAACAGGATTTAAATTAAAAAGAGATAAAAGATAAGAGATTAGAGATTATAGATAAGAGATATGTTATTGGGATGGGGATTGGCTTGAGGTCGACATTTTCATGTGAGATATATATATATATATATAATGATATATAAGACATATCACTCGGAATGTAACTATGGTAACCACAGTACTCGAGGCGAATGGTAGGTGATGACAGACGAGTAATACACTATTCAGCGATTAGACAACATTTATTTTACAACGTTATTTACAGAAGTAATAGATAATAACGGTCGGTGGGCACTGAAGTACAAGATTTACTTGCGCGTCTCTAGGCGATTGATGTGGCGTGAAAACACAGCGTCAATGCAGGTCGAATTGCGCGAAGTGGAATCAGCGAGATCATTGTTGAGTTATAGTACGAGATCGGTACTCATAAAATTTGTAAAATTGTTTACTTATAATAATTAGTAATACAAAATAATTTATTATTATTTAAAAAATTCATTTATTTTTGTAAATTATTATGGATACGAGTATGGTCTGTGCATGCGGCAGAACAAATAGATGTAAAAATAGAAATTACAAATTAGTAATTATGTAATTTTTATTGTTTAAGACGTCATTTTTCATAAAACCTGTCACTTGTTCGGTTTCACTAGACTCCCTGCCATCCTGACTATACCCATCCCTCCACTAACATTGGTATGGTTTTGCATTTATATAAAAAAAAATACGCAGTTTGAAAAGGTTAAGTTTATTGTAATGTAGAGCACAGGCTTTTTTTACAAATATATTTTTTGTATAACAATCTATGATGCATAAATTTTAAAATATGTAAAAAGATGTATCGACCATTTTTTTTATGTGTAATAAAAACTTTGTCTATATTTTCAAAGAAAATTTAGTTTTATCCTTTTATTAAATAATCATTTTTTCCTAATATCCATTACGTACTAGACATTCCTAAATGCTTAATTAACTATAATCCTACCCCCTCCCTTAACCTAACCCCTCAACGTTGGTGTTTTTTAAGGTTTATTTAAAAATATACGCAACTTGATAACTGACTGAGTAGACTAGCTTTGCAATTATAATTGTTTGGATAACAAACTGACTCATAAAAAAAAAAGAAATAATATTTACAACAACGACTACAATTAAATATTAACGGATAACAAAATTAAATTGTAAATAAATAATTATAATTGGAATTGTGTTTATTTTTTTTTTTTTAATTTCTTAATAGGAATCTTGAAAAATGTTTATAATATAATAAGCAACACCTAGTTTACATTGTGAATAGCATTCAAAATTTAAGTACTAGGTACACAAAAAAAACAAAACAAAGAAAAATGCCTTCCTTTTTTTTGGTTTTTTCGTGAGAGCTTTTTTGCTGTTCCAAGCTGTTAATAACGTTGGAAACACAAACATACATGTAGTTATAAATTAAAAAAAAGTCGAAAGATTTCATAAGCAATAATAAAAAAACACACATCAGAGTAAAACATCAGGGTCTTTATAAGAAAGTTATTTATCAATACATTTCTGATATAAATCTCTGAATAATAATATATCTAACATTTTGACTTATTTGGTACTAACGATATTAGGAGTATTTGGAATGTCGACAATTGTTTTATACAACGCTAATCAAAATCATTGTTTTGCTAGCGAAATATTTCATCCTGCTCTAGTGTTTTTTAAAAACATGAACGTTCTGTTATTTTACAAATAACTTTGCCTATTGCGCCATTCTTTAATAATATTGGTTCAATATAGTTTAAATAACATTTGTCAAATAATGTATAATATATTCATTTACATTTAATTCGACACATAATGTTTAAAAAAAAAAAATTTACTATTGAAATTATTTTTAAAAAAATAATTATTTGTTTAGGTTCAACATATAGTATATATCATATATTTTTACTATTGATTTGTATACCACGTTCCTACACAGAAAAATATACATAGTGTGGCAGACAAAACTAATTCGAATATTTTTAAAAAAAACTTATTGAGAATACTAACATTCATTTCAAAAATATGTAAACTTTTTGGGTGTTTTTCTTGATTGTAAAAGGGATTTAGTGATGTTTTTCAAATTTTTGCCCACTTATGTACATTTTAGGTTAGATTTCTGAAAAAGAGTTGATACACGTATCAAAGCTCTGTACAATAATATATATTTAACATTTTAAATTATTTGGTACTAATAATATTAGGAATATTTGGAATATTGGACAATTATTTTTAACAACGCTAACCAAAATTGTTTTTTTGCTAGCGAAATATTTCATCCGGCTATAATAAATGAATAAAACTGTATCAATATAGTGTAAATTACATTTTTTAAATAATTTGTATTATATCCCTTTATATCTATTTCTACACATTATGTTATCTAAATTAATTAATTGTAAATGTTTTTAAAAACAACGGCCTTACTATGGTTTAATTTAGGGACACGATAAATGTCTTGTTAGAAAAACTAAATAATGGTTTGGTCCAACTAATTATTACAGGAACAAATTTTTAATTAGTTATTTCGTTTACGAATTTTGTTTTACCCATTATCACTATAATAGGCAAACTTTAGTTGGACCCAGTTTTTATTAAGCCAGTCCAACTAGAAATGTTTTGTACCCTTCTATTAACCATAGTTTTAGTTGGACCAACTTTGTATTTTTGAAAGAGTTACTAGTTTACTTATTTTTATAGCGATCACACGGTAAACCTTGTGCCCATTATATTTTGTTATTTGAACCTCTGTATTAAAATTGTTTTTTTGGTTGC